TTGAGACTTCCTGAAATGGTCAAAATGAACACAATGAACTGTTTGCAAAGCCGAGAGAGTGTACGTATGTGGATCCCATTTCCACAATAGCAGAGATGTTGTGAGAGAAATTTTGCATCACTGTGCCATTAACAGTTGAGCTAACAACAGCTGGTAAGGGGGTAAGTGCAAATAAATCCATAATGTGCTGTTATTTATCAACCTAGGTAAAGTTATGTGTTTGTGTAAGATAATGTTCCTAAAAAGGCCACAGTGATCACAGTTCACCTACAGTGTAACAGTGACACTGGTTCAGCTTTATAGAAACAAATGTTAGTGTATGCTGTTATAGCTCACATGGCCATATCATCATAAGTAAGAGATTTATTATGCATTCACGTGAGTAAAAAGTTGGTTGCTGCTAGAACGTATCCCTCTATTACAATTCAGCAAATGAGCTACTGTCCAGGGAAACTTGTTTTAAATAGACTGCAACTTTGAAATAAACCAACTCGAATTAGCTTAGTGGGACAGCTGAGCTTCAGACAAACTTTAACTGGCGGGAATGGGCTTCCATACATGTGTGACATCTCAGGGTCGCTCCTGTTTTTCTCCTGTTTATTCCTGTGTCATTTGCACTTCATGTAAAGGAGAACATGGTTCGTGTCTGCATTCAATCGGTGTGTTTTTAAAGAAACAAGCGATGTGCAAAAGCATCCCACAGATTTCACTTGAGACTTCCTGAAATGGTCAAAATGAACACAATGAACTGTTTGCAAAGCCGAGAGAGTGTACGTATGTGGATCCCATTTCCACAATAGCAGAGATGTTGTGAGAGAAATTTTGCATCACTGTGCCATTAACAGTTGAGCTAACAACAGCTGGTAAGGGGGTAAGTGCAAATAAATCCATAATGTGCTGTTATTTATCAACCTAGGTAAAGTTATGTGTTTGTGTAAGATAATGTTCCTAAAAAGGCCACAGTGATCACAGTTCACCTACAGTGTAACAGTGACACTGGTTCAGCTTTATAGAAACAAATGTTAGTGTATGCTGTTATAGCTCACATGGCCATATCATCATAAGTAAGAGATTTATTATGCATTCACGTGAGTAAAAAGTTGGTTGCTGCTAGAACGTATCCCTCTATTACAATTCAGCAAATGAGCTACTGTCCAGGGAAACTTGTTTTAAATAGACTGCAACTTTGAAATAAACCAACTCGAATTAGCTTAGTGGGACAGCTGAGCTTCAGACAAACTTTTTGGGGTGCTTTTTTTTTTTTTTTTTTACAGAACAAGGGTTCTTTAGTTTGTCCCTCATTTTTTGCAGAGTAGTCACATTCAGATTCAGTGTGGAGAGTATAAGTGACAATGACTTAAACATGTTCTCACATACAGCGATACATCTGTATGATTTTGTTACCAGCTTGAAAAGTCCCAAACTATTCATTTTAAGAGAAGGTAGTTCGATTGGTTGCTTAGTGTTTCTGAGAAACAGATTTGGAGTTAAGACAGCTGCTAAACCCAATAAGAAATATGTCAAACTGACAACGCACCCAGCTCGGTGGAAGGAGAAGAGAAATGGGAAAGAGATGCAGGTAAAGATCTTGGAGGCAAGAAAAGGGAACCTCAGAGGGGGAAACACAATATAGGGAGTAGAGAGAATGGACAAGAGAGAAGAAAGCTGAGAACATCAGTTGATAAGAGTGGGATAGATGGAGGGGAGGCAGATGAGAAGGATTCTGAATGGTTAATGGTACAGTACCACTGTCTGTTTTTGAGCAGTGTGTGTGTTTAAGTGAGGCCATCTGTGCTAGCCACAGATGGTTTGGCAGTGAAGATGAGGCAGCTGGCTGGACTGAACTTGGGTGGAACTCAGTAGCACTGCCAAAGTGCAGATGGAAGTGTGTGAGTTAGCTGTAAATGAGAACACACTGGTAGACTTGGTAGTAACTGTACAACTAACGTTTTGCACATGTATTTTAGCAGGACTGGGAGTTTTCTTTAAAGGTTCAGCATGAGGAAGTCTGCTCTGACAGTGCTTCCTGCTAGAGGAAATTGAACTAGATGAGAGCTGCAGGGGCTCAGTTATCCTGGGGAAACCACCAGCACCCATCAGCTCAGACTCTTTCCAAACCAAACTTGAGGAAAATCACTGATTATCAACATTAGTTCTGTGTATTCTTCACTGGGATGTTGTGTGTGCACAATAGTTGGCAATGCTGCTATTCAGAGAAATAACTAAGGCCAAAGGTAAATTCTCCAATGGTGGTTAGAGCCTTAATTTATCCCAAAGAGAAAATCAGGCCTGCATTTGAGGTATGCATCATTACAGTAAGCACAGACTTCTGAAGAAAATTTCTGTGTACTTCTGTTCAAAAAAGTGCAGTTAAAACACTTGAACTGTTTCAGTTAGTTTGCATGTTGACAATTTGCAGCTTTTGGTATGAAAATGAAGTTATTCTTGAAATTGAAGCATTACGAAGGGCTGGGTGAGGCTTCAGTTCATGCCACCATCACCTTAAGTGAAGGCAGTGAGTGAGATTAAGGTGTCAGTTAAAGTGAAAGTTTTAAAAGGAGCTGTCAACATAAACATAACCTGACCAAAAATGTAGAAAGATGCCTCAGTAAAAGTCCCCACCCACACAAATGCAGTAGTGTTGCAGTTGTTGCCAGTTTGGTCCCACTTCCACCAAGAGAGAGGGATGGGGGTATAGCTGATAACTGCGTTTATTACAGCAGCTTTGTCTTTAAGCTACCATGATGATTTGTGGCACAATTCTGGGACAACAAAACTATCATACAGAAATTGAAAGAAAAATGGTGTATTGAAGGAATTTGTTTTGTCAAATCCAGTTACCAATATGTTACATTTGCCTGGATAATCAGGATGGAGAGAACCTTATACTGTATATTTTTGATGGATGTTAGCTTCCTTGTCTGTATTCGGTTTGTTTTTCCAGTAAACATATTTATTTGTGATAATTTTTGTATTGATTTAATTCAAATCACAATGATGATAAAAAATTAACAGGTAAAACAAAGTTCATTTACAAACTTTGCTGAATTGTTGTGTTTACCCATATTTCTTTCTCATATAGCTGTTCACTGTTCCAGGATATAAAAAACTAGCCACCCCTGCCTTACCTGTGGACACAGCACTTGAGGCTTTATTTTCCTTCAAGAGGTCACACTGTTAAACTCGTGTCTAAACTCCAGGGGCACGGTGAATGTGGGTGCGTTCAACAGTGTTTTGCAATGCAGAACACTTCTGTGTGCAGCCAAGCGTTACCGGGCACACAGGTGGAGTCGGGGCTGGCTTTAGTTATATCCAATCAAACCAGCTCCTCTCATCCCCTTTAAAGAGTAGGACGGACACCTGAGTGGCTGATGACAGGACATTAAAACATATGAGAGTAAAGATTCTTTCCATATATATTCTTCTCCTCCATTCCTAGATTGACAGTAACCAAACTATTTATGTAGAAGTACTGCACATAAATATTCACTCAATAACCTTCTGATATCACTGACCAGGTTTTGTGCATGAAAGAAAGTCTCTGGTCCTGTAACCAGCAGCAGTTATATAGTGTAATTTACTCCCAGCTGCATCCAGTGTGTGAAATCCATGGGGGTCTCATATGTAACATTATAAACATTTAACAGTTTTTTAAAATAATACAATAAAATCATATTGTAATCACTGTGTGTGGTCCACCAGAGTGCGCAGCCAGTGGATGTGTCGCCCACTTTATCTCCACCTACACCTCCTTTCAAACTTGATCAAACTGCCATGAGATGCCAAAACAGACACAACATATATCTGCACAGCAGTAACAAAGGTCTGTGTGAAACTTGTTCATTTGAAGAGACTGTAACTTAACAGTGACAGCAGCCACAGTGAGGTCAGACCAACTTTACCTGCAGCGTATCAGGATTAATGAAGACGTCTGCAGGGTGTTTGCTATTTATCTTGGCTAATGAGCTGCTTTCATGTGGTATTGTGGATTTGGATTCCGCATCCTTGTGTGTCCTGACATCCAACGCTGTTTGACCATATTCATATCTGTAGCCACATGCTGAGGACTAGTTTAACTTATTTAAAAATAGTCTAAATTATCACACATTTCATGATATACAATAAATTATTCAGAATGAATTCCAGCAGATCAGTTGTGGGTTAAGGGCTAATTTTAAGTTGGGGGTGCCATTAAAATACATTTGGGTAAATGATCTCATGCTTCCCAGTCTATGCATTTGTCAGCAAATGCACCTGTGATTGTGATAAGAGGTGGTCTGAGCAGGTGTTATTGTTATTAGTATTTCAAGTCAAAAAGAACACCACAACTGCACTGTGCTGCCTAATTAGCATGCACACTGCCCCAGCTGTGCCTCTCCTCCTACCTCAGGGTAAGCACATTCATTCATGGCAGGAAAATACCAAACACACCTATGTGCAACAAAAAACAGACATGCACCTGAGGAAATTCCATAAGGACTGCGTCTAAAGTGATGCAGGAAAATAGAGCCTTGTGTCTCTCTGGCACAGAAAATCTCACCAACATGTCTATACAGCTATTTTCTTGTCATCTATATGTCGCTATATGTAACAGCCGTAGTGCTATCACCTGCTCCTTTTAAAGGATCGATTCCAGGTGTTTCCATCCAACAGATATGTGCCTTCTTCCCACAAACAGTGGAGGAAACTGCTTTGTGACAGACAGCAACTGTCAATTCATACTTGACAAATGCAGGTGTAGAGAGAGAGGCAAAGCTAAGGTGGAGTGCTTCATTTTCTGTGAAGTATTTTTGTATTTTTCTGTTTGCTCACCATTTCCTAAATGTATTGACATAACTGTAATTTAGTAGGTTTCTGTTTATTTGTTATTTGATACAGAAAGGTATTACTTTTGACAGTAAGCATATGATTTGAGGTGCATGTGAAGGTCTGATTGTGTACAATTCATATGTAAAAACTCAATACCTTCAGTTTAATATACAATATACCAAAACACTTACCCATACAGCCTTGGCCATCCTGGGACTCTTGGTAGCCCTGGTCACAGAGGCATTGGAAGGACCCCAGTCTGTTCTCACAGAAGCCGTAAGGGCCACACAATGTTTCATTCAGGCCACATTCATCGATGTCTGGAGAATAAACAAATAATCTCAAATGCTTTTTTCTTTAGTCACCCTTTCACATCTAATGCAAGCCTCTGTATTATTTGTTTCACTAACAACAGTTTAAATTGTGCTATGGTGTATGAGAACATCTGTTAAACACATACACACACAACACAAACTTCCCCTGTGCTCTCCTTCATTTCCTCTCAAACAGTTTAAGGAAGGTGAATGTTGAATGCAGTGGATTAAGGAGAACGCTGACAACATGCAACTGAAGCAGTTGCTGTAAAAGTTAGTAATGCATTAACTGGTTTCATAAAAGTAGACAGACACAGTAGCACACACTTATGCTTTTGTCTCAGTCTCCTGCATAAATCATAAGACAGAGAAAAACAAATATCCCTCCATGTCTAGACAGCCAGCTCAAAGGCTTCCGTCTGTTTCTTTTCTTCTCATTTTTTATTTCCTCTGTTTTTTCTAAGGCAGGAGAGGGCATTAAAAACAGCTCTGGCACAAATGCCAAGACTCCTTCCAAGGTGAAGAAAACAGGAGCAGCATATGCGAATGAAATTCAAGACTTTTCCAAATCTTTCTTTCTTGTTTAAAAGTAGGCAGTCACAAGTGCAGGCAGAACTAGAAGGATGGAGATACTGACTAAGATAATGTATGTGTGTGCCCTTGGTATTACTTACATTGTGGGGACCAAAGCCTGTTAACACACTCACACTGTGGGGACTCGGCCTTCCTCATGGGGACCAGAGGCTGGTCCCGACCATGTAAATCACTGAATTTTAGCGTGACAACATGGTTGAGGTTTAGGGTGAGGCAAGTAGTAATTATGGTTAAGGTTAGGATAAGTCTATAGGGAATAAATGTAAATCAATGCAAAGTCCACAAGAGGAATCAAAACACATTTGTGTGTGTGAAATGTTTGCATTTTGAAATTACATGCCTTCGTACTACTTTCTGTAACACTGAAACATTTTCTTCAAAGTTTAAATCCGAGTGGAGTCAATCTTGAATAATGTTTAAAATCACCAATGAAAGTCACTGTCATTAATGAAGGATTATACTGAATCATTTCCCCCTGTCACCAGGGACCCCCAAACTGTGTGGACTTATCCAGCTCAGACCATCATGTTTCATGGATGAATGAGACAGAAAAATAGCAAACATAGTAAATAGCAATCTAAAGGCAATGACAATATAGTTTAGTCAGTAACACCCATCCATCTATGGGTGGTGTGTGTGTGTGTGTGTGGGGGTGATATGGGAACAGTGACACAGACTTTCAAACAGTCTTTTCTGAAAGACATGCAAGGAAGGGGGTTTCTGAAGCTACTCAGCCATCCAACAGGCACTTCTGAAGAAGCACGCTAGCAACTATACACTGACATCATCCAAGGTGAGGATTTAAGTGACATACAGTATATTTCAAAGAAAGCTAGCAGGTTACAAGCAAATGTGTGGTTACTCTCAAACTTACAAATCGCCAGAGTTTTGCAAGATTATTTTAAAAAGTAGATTGGCAATATTCAGTATTTACTTATTGTAAATAAATCCTATGAAGAGATCAAAACTAACAATGAATGTATCCACAGCCCGATACAGCGTATTCCCCTCTGCCATTCACTCTTGTCTAATCAGACATTCCAATTCTCTGGTAAGTTACAGTAATCTCCCATGTATTGATAACAGCTCCATGATGCCCACAAATCATAAACAATATCCTGAAAATCAGTATGTTTTTATTTATTTATTTATTTTGCAAGCAAGAGGGAGGGAAAAAGTGAGCGAGCACCATCCTGATTCACCTCTTGTGCTAAGAGAACCTATCACTTTTCTTTGTGCATGTGTTTTATATTCAGCCTCTCTCTCTCTATCCATCAGCTCAATTGTGTGTCACAAATGAGAGTATATGAAAGTACTGAGCACATTAAAATGTGGAGCTATTGGTAGTGCTATTCATAGTCTTGGAACCATGAAGGTCTGTACAAAATGTATGGCAATTCATCAGTTCCTGTTGAATTATTTCACATGGTAAATGAAAGCTTTGTTCCGATACTGGCACTAGAGGAAAAGCAGGTTATATATCGATCTTCTGCCAGCAACACTCACCAATGCACCAAATCTGAATTAACCTCTCCACAGTAATGTTCCAGTACTGAGACCAGACTGTTTCTGTTATTAAAATGCAACCTGCTTTTGCTATTTTGAGAGGGTAGCAGAATGTGGTATGTTCGAGCCTCTAAAACTTACCATATACCGTAGTTAAAATGGATAGTACTGAATTTTTGTCCTTCATTTACATTGTTAGTAGAGTTGCAGTTCAGAACTTTCAGAACAGGTTAAATAGTATCAGTGTCCACTGACTCAATAAGACTGCTTTTCACCCTTTAATTTATTATTTTGTAAAAATTAAAATTTTTGCATGGATTTTCAAACCTCATTCTGGGATGGTGACGAGGACAGGGAGACGTATTTTAAAATTTCCCCATAGAGCACAAGCTTGTTCATTTTGACCTCGCAGTAGTGGAACCAGTGCTCAGAATAGTCAACAGAGGGTTGAAGGGGTTACTCTGCCAGTGACAATACCCCCACCAAATACACTATATTCTCCTGTTTGAATAAAGTTTTTTTTTTTTTTTTGCAAACTACAGTGGCCAGCTGTTCTAAAACAGCTTTTGTTAAAATCAGAATATTTGTGATTAGCTTCTAAAGTTTACTTCTTGAGTAAGAACGAGAGGGCTTGCAGCTGAGGGCCCTGGCTAGTGCACAACACGTAGTGAGGGAGACAAACACATTGTTGGTTTTGATCTTTTCATGGCATTTGTTAAAAATAAGAAAAATATAGAATAACATCAGCCAAGGGGTGAATAGAGAACCTGTATAGTCTCTTCAACACATTAGTTAACAAAAAATGTCAGAATTAAATGAAACTGACAAGGAGATGTATCCAGATTTGTGCCCATTTGAATACTCTTCTACTTTATGAAACCCATGTAATGCATGGTGGATGTTTTTCTATATAGCTGCATCTTACCATCACAGGAGGGCGTGTCAAGGTTGGCAGTGAATCCACTCTCACAAACACACAGATAGGATCCCTCCGTGTTTAAACATGTGCCATGGGGGGAACAGAGCTCTGGCTCATCCACACACTCATCAACATCTGGGACAAAACAGACAGAAACCCACTGAGAGGTCTGAGCATGTGTGTGATCAACTATCCAAGCAGCGCTACATACTCTGCATCACTAAACACATCTGGTGGTGAGGGGATGTGTCCCTACTCTAGCACTCACCTCTGCAGCTGGTGCCGTTGATCTGCTGGTATCCCTGAGGGCAGGTACAGGTATAGGAGCCTATGTTGTTTACACACTCCCCCACAGCCTCACAAGGCCTAGCTTCGTCTACGCACTCATCCACATCTGAAACATACACACACAAGTCCTGTGAGGGAGGTTGTTCAGGTTGAAACAAATACCTGGTGAAATAATGACACTGTATTCTTTAAAACAGGAATGACTATATCCTTATGTCTTGATTATGTTTACATGTTGAAAGTTACTACTACTGTAAGACAAAGCTTCTGTAAATGTTTTCATGGGTAGATTTGAAGCTTGATGACGTATAAGCAGTACACTGATTTATTTTCTTTTAGGGTTGTTATGTCACTGTCTGAAGAGCATCACACAGTCCAATATGTCCAATAAAAGAACATGCGCTTCCATACACAGTGCAGCATTAAATGAACTAGTTTTATCTCCCTTTTGATTAAGTGATTCATAGAGTAGGTTCATGAATCTCTTTCCAAACTGATGTGCAGTATTAAAGAAAAGTGAGTGCACCCCTGATCAATATCTCTACAATATTAAGTAATTAGAAATCCTGTCCACTTAATAGAACAGTGTTTGTCCTTAGCCAAAGACCAGGTATGAAGCAAAGCAAAATGAAAGTTAAATGTTGAAATATAGAAATGTCATGAAATCATGAAAACTCCATACTGCAAGTCACTACAACCTCCATGAATGAAAATCCATTCTTTTATTTTGTAGTGGTCCCTCCTCAGTGTGTCTGCATAGTGTATATGTCTGTGTGTGTTTCTAGTGTGGCTGTGTGTGTTTTCCTAGCATTTCCAGGTCTAGTGATTGTGAATGGTCCTGGGTTCAAATCCCGGAAGAGCCCCCACTTTGTTGTGACCCACTCAAAGGCCACAACAAAAAGGAGGGTGACACACTACTGGAGTAAACACTTTTAAGGAATATTATTAAATGAAACTGATAAAAAGGCAGAGATGAGGTGTGGAAACCAATATCAGTTATGCATTGAATTGAATGAGTTGGATTTTGAGACTTTGTGCCCCTAAAACCAACAACATTACTTGTTTGGAAAATCACTCAATAAACATATCACACACCATCACACTGGTCCCCAGTCGCTGATACTTTGAAGCCAGGCCCACACTGACAGATGAAGGAGCCTTCAGTGTTTATGCAGTGGCCCCTGGTACAGACCGACTGATCCTGGCACTCATCTATATCTGAAACAGCACAAGTAGTGGAACAACTATATCAACAAAAAGCAACTGATTTTTCTCACATTTCTGAGCATTTTAATTGCATAATACTAGATAAAGTAGATATAAAGTGTGCCAAGTGCAGCCAATGCTCTTAATAAATAATATATGTTAGTGTTAGAAAGTCTATTTGTAAATAATAATGAACAAACTGCTTGTACAAATGACATGTATGAGGAAGCAGTGAGGATTCTGACTTATAGTCTGAATGGTGCACAGTACTGAGAGCTGATCTAGTTAAGTTATGGAGGGCTAAACACTTATGGTAAATTCAAACAGAGTAATTCAAATGTTATATCATAATTGATCAATATTATGTTAATATAAAATTGCACTATTGTGTGGCTTTTAATAATTAAACGGTTTTTATGTGGCACAGAAATCAATTGTAAATACTGAAATTTCATAATTTGTTGATCCAGTATCATGAGCTCCAGTGTTACACTGAAAATATATTGTATACTGGCATTATTATGCAAGGACTTCTATCTTCTTTCTATTATGCAAGGACTGAAAGATGTATAGATCCAGAATGTAATGTGTTCGGTTGGATCAACAACAACAACAACAAAAAAAAAACACAAACACACACACTTGACAGTTGTGATCTTTACAGTAATTACAATCACAAGGAAGTAATATATCTAAACGACCATATGATGGAAATAGCATTAGATAATGATATCACACATTACAATCGCAACACCACAGGGGTGTGTGTTGATCAGTGGTGCAAGATGTGTTCATATATGCAATTTAATTATAAATGTCCTTCTTATACTTTTAATATTTTTAGGATATTTTGCTGACTTTCACTCAGTATTTTCATATAGCAAAGATGCATTAACTAAGATTTTCACATTGTCTGACAAATCAGGTTAAAATTATAGAGGATGTGGTGTCTCTGGGTTAAAGTGTCCCCTCCATGACAATCTGTTACTTACAGCCCTACAGTACAGCTTCTCTAAACTGATTTGTAAAAGTACTGTGCATAAATTAGCCCCGCCTGCCACCTAGCAAAGGTTGTAAGAAGTATTTTTCAAACCCTGAGTAATCATTTCAAACAGACAGCATTGGAGGAGCTCTCGGCAGCTACAAGCTGTGGCTGCCAGACCGAAGAGGTAGTGTTTTTTTTATCACAGAGAGATGGAAACAAAGAGAGCAGGGTTTGCGATTCAGATGTGGCTTTCTTCTTTCTGGATGCATTAGTATCTAAAGCTAATGTGTTTGTTTTGGTATTGACCAGGCATAGTCATGATTTTACTCTACTTTTGTATCGTATTACTACTTTCAATAATTCAAGCTTTGTTTAACATTTGTGTGTTGTGTTACATTATCAGTAACTGGATTATTGCCCTGGCTTAAAGAGTTCATGGTGCTTTTCCTTGTTTTTTTGACTTATCTGCAATGTTACAATGGTGAATAATCATCTTAGACATGTCCTAAAGCTCCAAAAATGAAGTGTAAAATGGTAAATGGACTGTATTTTATATAGCACTTTCTCACAGTGTGTTGCACTGGCCAAAGCGCTTTACAGGAGATCATACACCATTCACCCATTCACACACAACATTCACACACCGATGACGACAGGCTGCCACGCACTGGCGCTAGTCAAGCCAATTCGGGGTTCAATGTCTTGCTCAGGGACACTTAGCAATGCGGGGAGACCGGAAGTCAAACCACCAACTTGCTGGTCAGGAGACGACTGCCCTACCTCGTAAGCCACAGCCACCCACAAAGTGTAGGTATGTTCTAGTATTTCTATGCAGGAGCAACTTGGTTTACAGACTTTTTTCTAACAAAACAAAGTATTATGTGGTAGTTTAAGGATTTACTTGAATGGTCATAATCTCCAGGCAGTTGCATGTTCATGTGAGTTTGCCTGACATCCACCGGTGCCATTGTAAAAGCAGCCTTTTTTGACTGCTCCTGGTTTTGTGGATATATTTTCCCTCCTGCTGCTGCACTGTGATGAGAGGATGTGGAGAAAACTACAGGGCCTGAGGTTACTGCATGTCCAGGAATGTTCCTGTACAGGGACTCACTGCTTTACCTGACCGGGTCTAACCTACAAGCAGCCAGACTGTGAAGCCCTCACGGCGGGGAATGATCATCTCATTAAAACGGGATTTCCCGTAGAGCACAGTACCTGTATGTTTTGACTGATTGAGACCAATGTGTCTGCAGCATGTGATGTGTTGCTGGTTAACCAGTGGATTAACGATCCATGATGTTATTGTTGGTGCTACCTACCTGTTGGAATTAATTTCACTACTTTGGGACTGTATGTGATCGTGTGGGGGAAGACACAGCAACCACCGGTTGGATTTACCGACCTTGGAGCTACTTGAAAGGGAGTGATGTTTCCACTACTCAGTGGGACTTAATGGAAAGTTAAAAAAAAAACATGTTGCATGTCTGTTAATGCCTTGTTTCTGTAACATTAGAGAGAATAGTTGTAAGGCTGGAGAAGTTACTATGTCTGCATTATGCCAGTTAAAATATAAGGTTTCTCAACTACGCACTTTGTTTAGAGTGTTACACATCTCTTTTCATCGGTACATACAATGTTGTTTACCTATCTATGCAGGAGGAATTCAAATCAATTAATGCTGTTGTGGCTCATTGTGCTGTCCACCTTTGATACAACACCAGGAGCAGGAGTTTGCATTCATGAACTATCTCTTGTTTTTAGGAAACATCAAACAAAAGGTTTATTTTCCAAAGTACTTACGGCTTATAAAGCCAGCTCCAGGTGACAAGAACTCCATGATGAGCGAGATCTATGGCAGGACTACATTAGATTCAGCTTGTTCACCTTGTGTGGTACATGGTATGCCATGTATCACCATGTCTAAACTTCCTTTGTAAGTATGACTATGTGACTGTGGTGAATCTATTTTTATATTCAGCTGTTTGATACATTACAGCTGGCAAACCTGAAGCTTTGACTGAATGGTGGCTTTCACTCTTTAAAAATGTAGTACTTTATATAATAACTCCAGTGCAGACAGATTCAGTAGCCAAATATGTATGGGAGGAAAATCTGGTTAGCTGACTTTGCAGCACACTGTTTAAGGATTTCAAAACATGTCCAAAATCTCCTACTCCGGAGCCTGTTTTTGTATTAATCTTATTAATAGATACCTTGGTTGCATATCTGCATGTATATGAACCTCTCAAAGAAACCGATCTGATCCCTCATCCTCCGCAGTGGGAGAAAAGAGATTTTTATTGTAGCTCTGGGGAAATAACCATCAGTCTTTTTTGCTCTCACAGGCCTAATTCGGTATCATTTTGGTGGGTGGTGAAAGCTCTGTTGAAATGACAGGAAACCACATAATGACAGAGTGTCCCATATTTATATCCCAATAAGGTGGATGAAGCAGGGAGGTGGGTGGTGCAGATGCTGGTAACAGTGTGGTTGCTGGTGTCCAAAACTACTTCTATTATAAATATGCACTTTTTCAAGTTCAGAGCTTGACCAAGTGCTGACCATTGGGGGGTGGGGGGTGGGGTATTTACTAAGCCTGTTGAAAAATACTGCAGCACTACAATTTTTCAGTTTAGAGCCATATTTACCAGCACTGATGATCAGTGAGTTCCCTGTGTCACAGCATTGGTAAATGAGGGACCCAACGGGCAAATTCTTCACACAGACTTTTCACAGTTTTGTGCCAGAAAATGAGCCACAAAACCTTAATAAATATCCCCCATAGTTTCCAGTGCTTAATGTTGCATTTTGTTTGGAAATGAAATGTGTGTTCATACAATTTAAGTTTATACAAGACTCGGTTCCAGAAAATTCATCCTCTCAACAGCTGCTGCCTGACTGCCAAATAAATGTTATGGAAATAAATAATCATATAGCACAAATATTTTACTTTTAAAGCTCAAGGGACAGCCTAATGGTGGTGGAATAAAGAAACGTTTTGCCTTTTTACCAAGAATAAAAAGAAAATACATTTTCACTAAAACTAGATGGATGGATGTGAAGAGATACCCATAGTTTGCCCTCGACAGGTCAATGTCACAAAATGACAGTTAGATTTCAGTATTGTATGAGTCTCTCAAACACACCAACTCAGTAAAAAGATTATGAAAGTCTTAAGCGTTTCATTTTAGACAGAAAGCAGACTTTTCCAAATTCAGGACTCTGAATTTTCTGCTGTAAAATGCAAGGGGTTATCTATGAGAAAATGTCTGTACAAAAAGTAAAAAAAAACACAGAGTATGTAAAAGAGTCTTTCATAGAAACATCAGAATATCAGCAGCATGAATTATGAGTATTTACCAACACAGCTGGTTCCCTGTTCATTGACAAGAAATCCCTGCTGGCATGAACACAGGAAGCTGCCCATTGTGTTCCTGCAGTGACCACCAAAGCATAAAGATGGGCTTTCCAAACATTCATCTACATCTGGACACACAAAGCAGAGCACACAATATAAGACAGTATTAGTTTAGAACTGAACCGATGCTAATCCTAAAGCCAGTGCTCTAAACCCTTATGCAACTGTGGCTGCTAATGACCATGTTTGTCATTCTGTAATAAAACGAACCAACATCAGAGCATTTGTCATACTAAGAAAAATTGGGACAGTATCTTATTGCTGGTGTGATGTGTTACTTAGTTTGCCCACTAGAAAGTATAATTATGATGGATGCACTGAGAGAACTGAAACCCATTCCAAGATGGCACCCTTTTCATCCCAATGAAAGCTGCTCACTAAGAGTGTAAACAAGAAGGTTTTTCAGGCCTCTGCAAGCTTAATGATTTTTGGGCCCATAGAGCACATGCACTACATTTAATATCTGGTCAAGCCAGTTTAGAGCAGTGTATTACAGACTTCCTCTGGTCGAGCTGACTTTTGACTTCCTGTTGGCTCCCTGCACAACCACATCATATAAAAATAAAGTTATACAGTTCTTCTAGACTTTACAAAATGTAATAGTGTGTATCTAAAGTTCAGAACAACATATTCATAATTTAAGTACCATTGCCTCTGTAATGACTGTGTAAGGCAGAAAGTCTTTATTGGCCATTGGATGTCACGTGACCTGCAATACTGACTGTAGCCACAACACCAAACCCACCTCATAGCACAGCACTGTACCTGAGGCTTTGATAATAATTTCAGAAAATAAATGCATCAAAAAAAGCACCACACTGTCTCTGCTGTGTAAACTTTGTCCTTAAAAAGAATCAAACAGGCTGGAGGTTAGACTTATATGCCACTGATGCCAAAGTCCTCACTTAGCTCAATTATCCTGACTACCTTAACTGCCCTGTTCATTCACCTGCGTCTACTGAACACAGGCCCCAGTAACAAAGCCAGGCTGTCCTGAATACACACATGCACACATTGATAAAATGAATTATTTTATTTTTTGTCTCAACCAGAGCAAATGCTAACATGTTGTGGGCCCATAATTGCAGAAGACTGAAGAACGTAAAGGATATATTCACATTTTATAAAGTCTATCTTAATACAATAGTGGATTTGTATTGATACTATGCCCCTTTGGGCTGCCACAGACAATCTAACTTTTTCATTGTTAAATTCAGTGAACCTGTAAATAAATACGGAAACGGAATCTACTGTAAATACAAATAGTACATAGACAGTGCATTTTCAAGGCAAACCTGAGCCTGAATGCAAAACATTTAGATATTTACCCTGTGATATGACGCAATACACTCTGTCAGTTTAGCTAAAATTAATGCATTCTAATCCAGCAGTCCTGCAGTAAATCCTCTTTCATTAAGGTGTTAATGTTCACTTTGTGTTCAAACTCTTTCAGACAGGTCTTGATTTTGCTGTATGATCATTTTGAATTGTATTGTTATAAGGTATTTATATTATTCTGTAGAGCCGCCCCCTCAAAGTTGATCAATTATATTATTAACTGTGAAGCCTGGCAGTTGGCTGAGGCTCTTCTATTCGAACCTTTGTTTTTATTTTTTGTCAGCCAGTGTGCATTACAATAGAAGGCAGACCCAGTCCGCACTAGTTTGTCATCATCTTCTTCTCATTTTGATGTGCCACACAGCAATTTGCTCAATAGTTGCCCCTATGGTTGGGGGAATACCCACTTCAACGGTGTAACTGTCCAATGCTTGGATGTATAAGGTCTGATGACACTATTTGGCAAACTGCTGCCCAGAACAAGGAGAAAAGGACAAGAAAATAATGCAGTACAGTCAAATAGGTACAAGATGCAAGTCTGAAGTCTGTTTATGTGGGACCTGAGTTCCCGTTTCTGCTACACACTGCTGACAAGGACGTACACAAGATGACCTTTGGCCTCAATAACTGTTTATATCCATTAGACTTCTCACCTACACAGGTGGTTTGAGCATCATCCAGGTGATATCCATCATCACAGTGGCAGGTGTAGCCCTCAGCTGTGTTGTAGCAAATCCCCTGGCCACAAATATAAGGGTTCACCAGGCATTCATCCACATCTGGGCCAGAAGATAAAGAGTATAAATGCAGCAGTTACAAAACTAATAATGGTTCTCAGAAAATATTATGAAGAGCTGCAAGAAAGCACAATACACCATTAATGTATCACAAGGTAAGTGCTTAATATAAAAGTACCACAAGTTCAGATCATGTACCACAAAGTAGCTCAAATGGTTGAGTGCAGGAATAATGAATGATATGCAATGCATGATGATTTCGAACTGACAGAAATACTGTACATCATGGAACCAATGTACCACAGGCAGCACTACTTTACCACCTGAACAGTTTCCTAAAAATGCATAAAAGCACAAATTAATGAGATATAAATATAATGTGAACTTAAAATAACCTAATATTTTAACCTAAGATGATAAGTAGACATATCAAAACCGTATTTAAGACATTTTAAGACTCTTTACAGAACCACAGTAATGGAACGTATTTCTAAATCTATGCATATAAAAATAAAACAATTATCTACAAATGAACAAAGTATTGGCACTTATGTTCATTATATTTTTTGCCCCAAAAAACTATTTTTTTAAACAGCTACAAGTTGTGACTTGCTGTTTATGTTTCCTGTAACAAATTTACAAATGACTAAGGTATTTACTAGCTATAAGAATTTTTACATTTTAATGGTACATGAGAAAGGAAATAAAAAGAAAGAAAGAATAAAAATGTTTTCATCTTACCAACTGACTGAGTGGGGGCAATGTCCTGGCCTGCATTGGATGGGAGAATCTCTACAGGTGTAGGTGGAGAAATCCTCTCAACAACCTCTACCAAAGAAAAAACACACCATAACAGACATTAATCATATCAAATACATATGTTATTATTATTCTACCATATTTTAATGATCAAATTTGGCACATTGATTGTATAATGCAGTACAGAGCAATAACAGTACAAAATATGTCTTCTAAAACAATCATACAGTTGAATCAACACCTCTCTACAACAGTTTGTGCACAAACTGAACATTATTGCCTTTATAAGGAAGGATTTATTGTAAGACTGTTGGACTAGACTTTTAATTTTAGCTTTGTGTGTCCTATCTAATAAACTGAATGTACGTATATTTTACATTTTCAGGGTACCTTTATGTACTTTGTTCTATTAAATTTTTTTATTGCAGTCATTATTCACAATCATTATGCAATTTTCCTCAGGCGCATGTCTACTTTTTTTGGTGTGTTTGGTATTGTAGTGTTGGGGGTAGAGAGACACTTTGGTGGGGTCCCCCATAATGCCCACTAGGCGGCAGGTGTATAATTCAGGGTTGGCGAGGATGTCATGCTAGTGTTCCTATGTTCTGTTCTGTTGGTGTCTGCCACAACAGCCAGTACCCTCGGACAACTCATCTACCTCTGATCTGACACAGCTGTGGGTTGGCCACCTTGGCTAGACACACAGATTGTACCTGGACTGCGAACTTGACAGCACTGTGTGCTGCGCCTTGGTGAACACGGGCTCCACCGCCTCCCCGGTACACCAGAGGACAGTGCCAGGCACCAAAGTGCCAAGACCCTGGAGTTGGAGGGCCACCAAGTGCCGCATCACCACGGTCACTGGCAAGAGTGCAAAGATGTGGGGAGAGAGGAGACTCAAAGTGAGTGCTGTCAGCTGCATCACTGAGCACTGGTTCAGGCTGGCCAACATTCAAGACTCCAATGGATGTGGGGCCCCTGCCAGACACAGGCCCAGGATGCTCACTGCAAAGGAGTGAACTTTGCCCAAGCCAGGCTGGTGTGGGCGTGCAGCCCTGAACAGTAGAAGGGCTTGTCCCCACAGTCAACAAGCTAGTGGGTCGGACTTTGTACTGTGCTGAAAAGACCGTCAGATCTGGGGTGGGACCGAGTAAGCGGAACCGGGTGATGTTTTATAGGGACAACATATGTACTGGCCCTTGGCTTCAACTGAAGGGGGAGAGTAACACAATGGAAGCCAGTCACAGGCTCCAGTTCCCCCTCCACCAGCCGCCAAGCAGGCCTTGGCTCCAGTGAAGGCTGACCCCAACACTATGGTTACTGAGGACAATTAACCAGCCAAGTGGGGTGTGTGTAGTGCTGGGGGCAGAATGCCTGAAGGGGAAGCGCCTGGCGGGATCCCCCATAATGCCCACTTGATGGGAGTTATATAATTCATGGGTTAGTAGGGTTGTTATGCTAGTGATCTCGTGTTCTAATCTGTGGTTGTCTGCTGTTGCCCCCGGGTGCTTTTTAAAAAGAGCGTCTCGACAGAGTGCAGAAAAGGCGGCCTGTGTCTAGCCAACCTCCATTACAGTGTTTTCCTGCCATAAATGAATGTGCTTACACTGAAGTGGGAGGAGAGGTGCAGTTCAGGCCAGGTGTATGCTGATTAGGCAGTTCAGTGCAATTTTTGTGCTTGTTTAGAGTCGAAATAGTGAAAACGATAACCCCTGCTCAGACCACCTCTTATTGCATTCACAGGTGCATTTGCAATTTTCCTGGGAAATACCCTGGGAAGCATGAGGTCAGGTACCCAAATGTATTTTAATGGACACACCAACTTAAAATTAACCCTTAAATTTACTGCATATCAAGAAGATTATTTTTAAATAAGATAAATAAGCTAGTTTTCAGTATATGAAGTTGTTATCATGCCGTATTGAACTTTGGGTAAATGCACTATTTTGGAAGATCATGCTCATTATCCATCACAGAGATATACACTACATACATCTTTAAGTAAAAAAAAATAAATAAAAACTATCCCACACAACTACACACAGTAGTTTCAACTGATGTTTCAACAATGTCCAAACGGCCACTTTAGTGTATACTTTGAGCACAGAGAGGACAGAAATTGAGTCTGCAGTGTTTGTGTCATCTGCCGACAGCTGCTAGCTAGCATTAGCTCCCCGACTGAGAGCTGAGATCAGGGTGTAGAGTCATTTTTTTAGTCTGTTACTCCTCGACCAGCTCTAAAGGTCCGATACAAGTTAGTTACAGTCAGCTAAGGTTATCGATTCTGAATTACCAGTCAGTAAAGTGAGAGCTAAATGATTTATACCACTTTTTAGCCAAACAAAACTAAAATGTATGCAGGTAGATACACCACATATCTCTCAAAATGACAGTTCTGTAGAGATATGAATATGCTCAGTGTTGGTGCACATCAGGAAGCACCATCTGTAGCCTACTTACAGCACACAGCCAGAGGTAATCTGCAGCCAGTATTTGGGAATCCAAATCCACATTAAAAAATTACACATAATAACATGTGAAAGCAGCTCATAAGCCAAGATAAATAACAAACACTGCACAAGTCCTGATTAGTCCTGTTATGCGGCAGGTAAAGTCAGTCTGATCTCACTGTGGCAGCTGTCACTGTTCAGGCACAGTTTCTTCAAACAAACAAGTTTCACACAGACATACAGTAGCTTTACAACTACCACAGGGATGAACGTTGTTTCTGGTTTGCATTTTGTTGTGGTTTGATCAGCTTTGAAAGCAGCTGTGGTGGACCACAAGTTTCAGTTCCACCATAAACACAGTGATTACAATATGATTTATTGTATCATTTTAAAAAACAGTGAAATGTTTGTAAGGTTACATGCAAGATCCCCATGGATTTCGTGCACTGGATGCAGCTGTCAGTAAGTTACCCTACAGTGTATAATTGCTCTTGATTACAGGACCAGAGATTTTCTTTCTTCCATGCATAAATGCCAGTCAGTGATATTAGCAGACTGAAGTGAATATTTAAGTGCAGTACTTCTACATTCTACAGTTTTCACTATAAGAATGTGGTACATAACTGGCAGGAGAATAAGATATAGGGATAGAAACTCTCCTCTCATATAGCAGTATATCTCATATAATATCCTGAACAGGGTCACGGGGAGCTGGAGCAAATCCCAGCTGACACTGGGCAAGAGGCGGGGTACACCCTGGACAGGTCGCCAGTTTATCACAGGGCTGACATGTAGACAAACAACCACACACTCACTCCTACGGGCAATTTAGAGTCATCAATTAACCTAAGCTGCATGTCTGTGGGAGGAAGCTGGAGTACCCGGAGAGAGCCCATGCAGGCAGAGGGAGAACATGCAGACAAGGCCCTGGGTCAGCCTGGGCTCAAACCCGGAACCTTCTTGCTGTGAGGCGACAGCTCTGCTTGCACACAAAAGTGCACTGAGTATGTGGTCACCAAAATTGCAAAACACTATTGAACGTGCTCATATTCACTCTGTGCTTGGAGTTTAAGCATGGGTTTAGCATTGTGCCCCCTTGCAGGTAAACAGAGTCCACAGTGGGTTTTTTGGCCCTCATGACCATCATATTGAATGCCACAGCAAATCTAGGCACCGCTGCCAATGCGGCCCCCAGAATTGTGCAATAAACTACTTCTTAGTGTACGATCCTGTTCTGACTTTTTTACACTTTTAAAAATGAACTTATTTCCTTTGGCTTATAAATCTTAGTAGCTGTGACTTTTTTTTCCTCCTCTTAGAATGTATTTATTTGCCATACCCTAAGAACTGTGGTGAAGGTAACATGTTTCTGTTGGCACCATTGATTTATTTTAAGGATAATAATTTTGGCCACGCATGCTACACACACACAAAGAATTTGTTTCCAGTACAGAACCGAGGGAGCCATCTGCAGCACCAACTCACACTGATGGCTTTAACCATTGGGGGCAACTTGGGGGTTCAGTGTCTTGCCCAAGGACATTTTGCAGGCACACTGCAGGCACCGAGATTCGAACCTCCAATCCTCCGGTTGGGAGACGACTGCTCTACCCACTGAACCACAGTCGCTTCCATTTTCATTACTATCTTAAGTTTTAAATCTTAATGTTTTACTGTGATCCAATGTGTATATTTTATTGTGCTATATAGATAAAGTTTGATTTGATAGTTTTATGGTCTGTGTCCTGCTTTTTGACAATATTTCCAGATAAATCTCATGCTACAACCAAGCATTCACACCTCAGTGTGGTTCCACAAACATTCATGCTCTGACTGTTAACATGCTAAATCTACCAAGGGAGCACTTATACAACAGTTTAACTTCTTTGGAGTGCTGTTTATGAAAGTCAATGTAAAAATTCAAATGGAAGTAGAATTTTAAAATTCACATCTAAATTTGTCTGTTATGTGTTAACATGTATAAATTAACACAAATTGAAGAGGCTTTTAAACTGTCCCCATATTACTTTATACATAGTTAAAGCTTATTTATTATGGTTTTATTACACAGCTATTGAACACTTCTAGATGTGGTCACTATTGATGCCTGTCTAAGCTGATCCTGAGGATCAGTACCTGGGCTGACACCTGGGCATGTGTTATAGGATCGATATCAGTTAAAATAAAACTGATCAAACGCATATCCTTCTTTATTACGACTCTACTGCCACGAGACTATGCGGAACTGGGGGCCTCTATGACTGACTCTACATTGGAGTGTCCCTCTACCTAAAGAGCAGAGATGAGAGGGCAATTTATGAAACGCTCACTGAACGAGTAGAACACAAACTTGCCAAAATGTGACATTTTTGCCGCTTTGCCTGCGGTGAACTTGCTGAAGTCTCCTTTTCACCTCTAAATCAGTATTAGCTAATTTTAGCTAATTGTACTAACTGAGCTAAAAGCAAACTTGTGAATTACAATAGAATTTTTGTAAACAAACTGTTTGAGTCCAACTAGCCCGTCCTTTCGACATCTGTCTGTAAAGCATTGTGAGTGCATGGGTGTGTGAGAATGCAACACTGAAAAAGCTAAATTTGGAGGGCATTCTTTACGTAAATGTAAGTATTGCAGTCAGGCTCCAGTAAAGGACTCAGATCCTGACCGGGGCCAAAAAACCTGACTGAGACATCCCCGTCCCTGTTCCCATCCTTAGTTTTGGCTCGCAAATGTGTTGTGTACGCATCATCTGCACTTTGCTGCATGCGCTAAATGTGACTGATGGACAATCATGGCATCAAGTTCCCAGTTTGGCAATGGATGAACGGATATGTTGAATGCTCTATAAAATGAAATGCTGTGTCTTGGTTATATGCGTCATGATTATTAATCTTAGACAATCTATAGAGTAAGTTGATGATCTTATAAATATCAATGTCAATGTGGCTTTATCTAAACCTCAGACTAGAAAGAAGTACTGTGTGAGGATTGCTCCTACCTTATCACACAAGAAAATTGGCAGCTCCATCAGTTAAAGAGCTCTATTATACTGGTATCCTGACTGCGGCTTAAAACAATAAAACAGTGGAGGAAGACATACATGTGGTATAAATAAATCCAGAAATCAGTGAATGAATATATATGGGATTACACTTTACTTTTCCTGTTGCCACAATAAAAAGATCACAGTACACTGGCCTTTCGAGAACATCTGACTCGCCTTGTAGCTGCTTCTGTAGTGCTGTCAAAAGTCTGACCTGCACTGTCTCATATTTGCTAAAATTATGTGTGCTGACATTAGCATATTTATAATAGCATCACTTATCAATCTAACATTAGCATACCAGTAGGGCTGAACCTGACAAACTATAATTGAACTTGAGTACAGTTAGAGTACAAAGTACTCTAATCTTAAGTCTGAGATGATTTTGGTTGTATTTAAGGATATGTTTAAGTTAGAGCACTGAATATTTACCATTAACAAGAAATCAATTAATGTGAGATGAAAGTTTAGCTGAATAGAAACAAAGAAAGGAGTCCCTAACCAGCTACTGTATCACAGAAAAGAAGGGGCAGAGGAGCAGACACCTGGATAGGCTGCCTCCATCTTGACAGTGGACACACCCGGAGATAGCTGGGGCAGGACCAGTTCAACTACTGGCCTATTACTAACCACAGGAACTACCAGCTCCTTCAGTGACAAGACAGACAATAATACCAAAGGTCAACAGAGCACTGTATGCAAATGTTTCAGTCCAAATATAATCACTTAAACTTTGAACACTGCGTCTGACATGCAATACAAGTGTTGTTGTGGAAAGCTGATTAGCATTCAGCTTGCTTGGTTGCAGTTTAATGACTGGGCAGAATGAACAGCTCAGCGAGCAAGCTAGAAAGCAAAAACTGCTTGCCACTTCTGCATAGACTTCTATCTGGATTTGTTTGGAACGCAGTTAAGGATTTCACTTTTCTTTAGTTTTCTGTTTTTGGTACTTACGTATGTAGCCATATACATATCAGAGGTATACAGGCTGACAAGTTGCTTTGTGCTGACCTGCCAAAGTCATGCCAAAATGTTGCTGACTTCATGCAAAGGTGATTCTGCAACTTCTGAACAGCTGAGAGGAGCGTGTCTGTGCATGCAAACTGCTTCAAGCTACTAATTTTCACTATTTAGAGGAGCCAACCTACCTGATCTGGTGCAGTTGTTGCTACTGACCAAAGGGAAAAAAGAAACAGATGTATAGGTTTGTAACATATATGGAAATACAGATTATTCCAAAAAGTCAGTGTTTGATTCCTAAAGATAAGGCCAGGGATATTCTATATGTTTGTTACTGTCAAAAATGTGTTCCATTAAGAAACTAAACCAATATATAAGTTTGTCTCTCAATACCTTACAATTTTCCTATCCTGTCTGTAGCTGTCATCCCCAATCCCACTGGTTCTAACTGAAGAAATAAATCTGTAAAAACATACAATATATAGTTTAATCTTTTTAAAAAATGGATATTTCCTAAAACAACCAGACACTGCAGATTCAGAAAACATTACTTAAACTAGTGGAAATTGTGTATTTGTTGGAGATCATTTCAATCACAAATTTGGTGGTCTAGTAGCAGCATGGTGTATGTGGGAATGAGCAATAAATTACAGTGCCTGTGTTTCTTGTATTAAACATGTCGTGATGAATGTTTTAACCTGGTTGATGCAGTAACTCAGGAAAATGGTAACAAAAATTAAGCCCTCCACTTGTTTCTTTGGCACAGGTCTTACCTGATTTAAACCTATTTTAGTTCTCTATCAAAAAACACTCTTGCTATAGTTAACTTCTCCCTACAGCTGTCATGGTTCTGTCCTACTGCATCCAGTTTCAGGCTCTTATTTTGTCACCACTTCCTGTTCTTATTTCATCTCAGCTATGGACTCTTTACGGTAATCAGTGCTCATTGCCTACACCTGTTTTCACCCCTATTTAGGCAGCGTCCTCCCACCAGGAGACTGCCAGATTGTTCTTGACTCCGTGTAGACTTTCCAGCGTTTCTTCTTGTTTCCTGTGATTCCTGTTTATTGACCCTGGATTGCCTTGACCACCGATCACCGCCTTGCCCTCCTGGTTCTGATTGTGTTTCTGTGTACTGACCTTCGGACTTCCCTCCCTGACCTCCCGTTTTTGGATTACTTGGCTGTGTGTATTTGCTGATATTGAACCTGGACTGTTATTGGAATTGGAGTGTGTTTTTTAGACTATTGCAGTGTCTGCCCTTACTGTGAGTAATGAAAGAGAACTAGTCACTCACCTTCGTCTGGCATTACAATTGAGTCTGCCATTAACTACGTTGGTAGCTTTACTGGCCAACCCTGACAGTACAATCTGGCCAATATGGACTCAGCCAGCGAGCAGCACACTGACTGGAGAGCTAAGATGGAGCAGGCCTTAGCTTTCCAGGGAGCAGCCCTGGGTCAGATTCAAGCTGATCTACACCGGCTACGTCATGAGGAAGCCAGTCGTGCTGCCGCTGGAGCAGGTGCTGCCCTAACTCCAGCAGTGCAGGAGCCCAGACTGTCTATACCAGAACGGTACGGAGGAGAGATGGAAGAGAGCAAGGCGTTTCTCACACAGTGTGAGATCTTGTTCAAAATGCAGCTGTCAGCGTTTCCCACCGAATGGGCAAAAGTGGCTTACATTTTGTCGCTACTGACTGGCCGAGCTAGACAATGGGCTACGGCTGAATGGACGGCAAGAACGGACTGCTGTAACACTTTTGCCAGATTCGGAGCTGAACTCACCCGGGTTTTTGATCCGTCATGTTATGAATCTGCCACTTCCCCTTCGGTGAAGACGTTGTCACAGGGTTCTCAGTCTGCAGTTGACTATATTATAGCTTTCCGCACCACAGCAACGGCCAGCGAGTGGAATGAGCCAGCATTGGTGGATACTTTTTACCAGGGCCTGTCCGCTTGACTGAACCGGAGACCATCACATGCTAGCCCAGAACCTCATGTCAACCTGAGCGCCTCATCAGACCTCCCGGCGCCAGTGCAACTCAGGAAGACGAAGTTAACACCAGAGGAATGGGAGCACCGGTTCAAACATAACCTGTGTTTGTATTGTGGTGGTTCAGGACACCGAGCAGAGTTGTGTCCATTAAAAGAACAAGGCTAAGCCCGAAAGGGAGGGCGTTGCTGAGCCATTACTATTACAGGTGTAACACCCTCCCGCCCGGTTGTACATGCTGTGCTCTCTGTCAATACTAATGATATTAAAGTGCCATTGTTCATTGATTCCGGTTCAGATGCTTGTTTCATGGACCCCGCCTTCATTCAAAAGTATAAGATACCTCTCTGCACTGTAGATCCTGCCCTTCTGGTTCATTCACTAAATGACAAGTTTTTGCATCATGTCACATCACAGTCTGTTCCACTCACACTGACAATAGATAATCACGTAGAAATGATACAGTTTCTGGTCATGCGGTCAGAGCATCATTCGGTGGTGTTAGGGTGGGGTGAGGATGGATTGGGAAAAAGGGCGAGTGGTTGAATGGTCAGCAGACTGTGCTAAAACTTGTCTACAGTTGGCAGTCCGACAACGGATTGAGAAAGCTGAAGCATCAGAAGTAGTCTCAGATCTAGAAAAAGTACCCTCTGTGTATCATGATCTAGGTCAAGTTTTTAACAAGACCCATGCTACTTCTCTTCCTCCACATAGACCCTATGACTGAGCTATTGCCAGGAACTATGCCCCCTAGGGTCGTCTGTTGTTTTCCTTATCTGTCCCAAAACACAGAGCTATGACAACCTATATTATGGAGGCTCAGAGGGCAGGGTTGATCCGTCCCTCCCCCTCCCCGGCTGTTCTTTTTCATAGGGAAGAAGGATGGGGGGCTGAGACCCTGCATAGATTATCGTGGGCTCAATAAGATTATTGCTAAGAACAGATATCCTTTGCTGCTCATGTCCTCTGCCTTTGAACTACTTCATGACGCAAGGATTTTCACCTGGACTTAAGAAGCGCCTACCACCTGGTAACGATAAATGAGGGCGATGAGTAGAAAACTGCTTTTAATACCCCCTCTGGACACTATGAGTATCTGGTTATGCCATTCGGTCGCACCAACGCACCAGCGGTTTTTCAGCTTTGCTGCTCATGTCTTCTGCCTTTGAACTACTCCATGATGCAAGGATTTTCACCTGGACTTAAGAAGCACCTACCACCTGGTACGGATAAAAGAGGGCGATGAGTGGGAAACTGCCTTTAATACCCCCTCTGGATACTATGAGTATCTGGTTATGCCATTCAGCATTCGTTTCGTTCATTTTCAGAAGCTGATAAACGATGTACTGGGAGATATGCTGAACAAATTTGTGTTTGTGTACCTAGATGACATTCTCATCTTTTCGTCCTCTGACGAACTTCTCCCTCTCTTTCCGCCCATGTCACCACAATGGCAAGGCAGATGCCCTCTCTCGCCAGTACAACCGAGAGGAAGAGGTCGCTGAGCCAGCTTACATCTTGCCCCAGTCTGCCCGTGTGGGTGCTGCTCTGCTCAGCATCGAGCAGGAAGTCGTCAATGCCCAGGGGCCGGAAATGGGTCCGTCTACCTGTCCAACCAACCATCTGTTTGTCCCGGTTGCACTGCGTACCAAGGTGCTGCAATGGTGTCACGCCACCAAGATCGCCTGCCGTCCTGGTGTAGCACAGACCTGCTACATCATGCAAAGGTGGTTCTGGTGGCCGACTGTGAGAGAGGATGTTCAGGAGTTTGTGGCCGCTTGTCCAGAATGTGCCAAAACAAGACTCCCACCGGCAAACCTGCGGGACTGTTATGGCCTCTTCCTGTGCCCCAGAGACCTTGGACCCACATCTCTATGGACTTTGTCACCAGTCTACCCACATCCTGAGGTAATACCACCATACTCACTATTGTAGACAGGCTTTCTAAAATGGTCCACTTTGTACCACTATCCAAGTTGCCCTCAGCTAAAGAGACTGCACAACTCCTCATCCAGCACGTGTTCCGCCTACATGGTCTCCCCCAAGGATGTGGTGTCTGACAGGGGTCCCCAGTTCGTGGCCTGGTTCTCGACTAAGTTTTGTCAGCTCCTGGGCATCTCTGTTAGCCTCTCTTCAGATTTCGACCAACAGACAAACGGACAGACTGAACGGCTCAACCAACAGCTGGAAACTGGCCTGCATCTCTCATGTCACCATGATCCTTCACTGTGGGCAGATAATGTGACCTGGGTGGAATACTCCCACAACTCTCTTCCTTCAGTAGCCACCGGTATGTCACCTTTTGAATGTGTTTATGGGTACTCTCCACCCCTGTTTCCCAGTTTAGACCCAGAGGTTCATGTGCCATCTGCATCAGCCCTGGTCTGCAGATATCACCGGGCTTGGAGGAGAGCCCGCCTAGTCCTGCTCCGCTCGGTCCAAGCTTACAAAAAGTGGGCCAACATTCATTGTTCCCGAGCTCCCACCTACCAACCCGGCCAGAAGGTTTGGCTATCGGCTCGCAACCTCCCTCTGTGGACAAAGTGTCGCAAGTTGACCAACCCTGAAAACAGCCTGGTGTCTTCTCCACTGGTTTTAAAGCTGCTTTAGGTAAATCCCCTCTAGATTAGCTTGGCATCCCTCATAACTCCAAATAGTCTGTAATTATTTCAGAACGATAAAACCCAAGAGCCTTTTCCTAAAAATGAAAGGATAGTTCGTAAACGTGCACAACTCCGGCTGCCAGTGTTGTGTTGCAAGTGGACAGCACAACGAACCGCAACAGCATTAATTCATTTGAATGTCTCCTCCATAGATAGGTAAACAACAGTGTATGTACCGATGAAAAGAGATGTGTAACACTCTAAACAAAGCGCATAGTTGAGAAACCCCATATTTTAACTGGCATAATGCAGAAATAGTAACTTCTCCAGCCTTACAACTATTTTCTCTAATGTTACAGAAACAATGCATTAACAGACATCCAACGTGTTTATTAAACTTACTGTTAAGTCCCACTGAGTAGTGGAAACATCACTCCCTTTCAAATAGCTCCAAGGTCGGTAAATTCAACCGGTGGTCACTGCTTCTTCCCCCACACGACCACATACAGTCCCAAAGTAGTGAAATTAATTCCAACAGGTAGCGTAGCACCGACAATAACATCATTGATCGTTAAGCCACTGGTTAACCAGCAATACATCACATGCTGCAGACACACTGGCCTCAAGCAGTCAAAACATACAGGTACTGTGCTCCAGGGAAATCCAGCGTTGATGAGCTGATCATTCACCACTGTGGGATTTTCACTGGCCGGCTGCTTGTAGGTTAGAACCAGTCAGGTAAAGCAGCAATTCCCTGTACAGGAACATTCCTGGACATGCAGTAACCTCCGGCCCTGTATTTTTCTCTACATCCTCTGGTCACAGTGCAGCAGCAGGAGGGGCCAAATAAATAACAGTCTCCTAATCAACCACAGGTGAGAATCGCTGTGATTGAAACTCCTGGCTGGGTGAATGGACTTGTGGGAGGGTCTGGCCTGCAATGTTGTAGCCGAGTCCCCAGTGCTCATGTCTGAGTTGAATCTCGAGTTCAAGATTTCCTGATCCTGATGCATTCCCTTCACCAGAGACCCTGGACGCCCTTATGACAATATGTCTCCTGATGACACCAGGCAAATTAGCTCACTCCAGAACTGTATACCAGACAGAATTATCTGGGTGTCACAGAATTTTCTGCAGTTAAACCAGGATAAAACATACACACTGTTCATTGGTTCAAAGGCTCAGAGCGGAAAACTGGCCTCTAAATGATACTGTATCCACTGGGACTTACCCAGAAACAGAAATAAATTTTGGAGTGGTTTTTAATTTCAAAGCATGTGTGAAGTGTCACAAAAACAGCATTTTATTATTGGAAGAACATTTCTGAAGTAAGGCCATTTTTTGTCTGGTTAACACTGAGACTAGTGCATGCCTTTATATGTACTGTAGCAGGCTAGACTATAGTGATACTGTTCTTTTGGTGTAACAAAGGGCATAAAATAGCTCAAATTAATCCAGAGTTCTGCTACACAAGTGTGAAGATCAGAGGGTGCTGGCTTGCCTATTAGTTTTGGCATTTATTTTATCAGTCTATAGGACCCTGCACAAGGTTATTTATCAGAAATGCTTTTAAATTCTGAATCAGGAAGGCCACTCAGACGCTCTGGTTCTTCTCTTTTAGCTGTTCCACGAAGTAGAACAAAAATCTGTGTTGATGCTGCTTTTACTCATTACACTCCAAGACGCTGGAACAGCCTTCCAGAGGGCCTGAGAGGAGTTAAAAATATTAAAGTTGACTAAAAACCCATCTTTAGCCTAGATTTTATATAGTGTCAGTGTCTTAATACACTTTGAAATGCATTTTGCATTTGATAATTAAAGACTGATTGATTGATGTCAGTTAGTTCAGTCACTGACGTATTTCAGTCACAACAGCACTCCATGTGAACTAGCTTGCTATAATTTATTAACAAGGTTAAACATTTAGCTAGCTCACTTCCTAACTGGACAACAAGTTTATTTGAGATGTATCTGTTGAATGAAAACCATGTCTCTTTTGTGGACCAGTTTATACTCTTTAGATAAAAGTGCATCACAGGTAATAGGCCATGATCATTTCCCATGTTTTGGACTCTATCCATACCCTGAAAAATCAGCACTGGGGTTCACTGTTGGTCCACTAGAGTGGACTGACTGAAAATCAAAATTTGTCAAAATTTCCAAAGTTATAAATCTGAACACCTTGTATCTGTAGCTTAGAGTTTTATGAAATGATCATGAGGTGACAGCTTGCAAAATTGAAACAAAAATAATTTTTCTGTGATCACAAGGAAAGACCATACCTTCTATAGCCCTCCATAATTAACAGATGAAAATGCAAAGATCTGGTCATTTGCAATTAATCTCATCTTTATCTTGCTTGAATGTAATTAATCTAATCCGAAAGACCTTTATTGCATAAATACCCTATGAAAAATTCTTTATATTGTGAAGAGGTCATAAACATTGCAGACCACATTCTTAGGTATGAAATGTACCAACACAAAGAAAACAAAACAAGCCGTCCTCTCTTCTTCCCACCCAGTACAGCCTTCTGCTGCACTGAAATGCCAATGTGTAGTGCTGCCAGGCACCATAATAATGTCTGCTGGTATCCAAACACTAGTGTACGCAGGTTTTGGGTGGTGGATTTCTGTCAGATTGTTTTTTGTGGCCTGTGCTCTGTGCCTGGAATACTCTGCTCTTAAGAAGCTTAGCACTAATTTTGATTCTGTCTGGCTTTGGCTAAGATGTTACTCCTTCCCTTGATGGCTGCCAAGCATGTCTTGAATAATAACAGGAAAGGGTGACGCTACGCTGCCTCTCTCAGCCAGGTTTATCTCCCCTCTCCCTGCCTCTCCTGAAGGACTGTGGGCTGGATTTGAAAGAAATATGAAGTGAGGCAAAGCACACTAATCCTTCTCCTCTTCAAACATATATCACAAGATGGGTGTTTCTTTTAAGATCTGGGTTTCTAATCACATGCAGGGATCATAAATCACAATCTCTAGTTACTTTAGATCTGTAATTTGTGAGATTGTTGTTCATCCCACAGTGGAGATTTGTCATTAGGCCACAGACACTGTGAGACTGATGAATTAAGGCCACACTTCAAGCAGGAGAAATAGGATCATTTGTTACACTGCTAGACCGTTTCTTAATTCATTGTAGAAAAGCACAAAAACTGTAAAAAAAAAAAAAAAAGGTCTCCTTTTGGAGTACTTAAATGCAATCCTTCAAAAATATTTGCCAGATGAAATTTAGCTGAAGAGTGTTAATTGTGAAATATTTCAGGGCTTCTTTAAGGATAAACTCTGTCATCAACAGATTTACAGTATATTGTCGTTTTCCCCTCAGAGGTCACATTGAAGTCTAGTTGAAAGCTACCCCATGATGAACATAAATCAGATGTTCATCTTATAATCACAATTAGCTGCATGAATAAGAACAATAGCCCAACTCCATCCATTTATTACAAGAAATCACCTCAGTGAGTCCTCTAGTGGAAACCGCAGTGTTTAAGCAAATAGTTGATTGATTATTCAACTGACAGAAAAGGGTACAACATATAATTGTGATACTTATTGGTATTTGTTTGTATTGATGTGCTACTGCAATTTCTATTTGCACAACTAAACCTTCTGAGAAGTGTTGTTTCTTATGAAATGTTGCTGTCAGAAATTAGCATTACCAAATATGTATCTGTTAAATAATTTAACGTGAGTGACACAAACAGAAACATTCATCTGAGCTCAAAATCACAGCTTTCATTAAAACTCCAATTTCTTGTTCCTCTTCCTTGAATGCATTGTTCATGTGCTAAATTATTTGATGTGAATTTTTCACATTTTCAAATTGTAGTTTTGCTGTACAAGAGTTTCAGTCTTTTTGCTGGATTCAGCTTTCAAATGTGATCATTTGCAGTTTTAGCTGTATATATCCATTCCGACATAAACTTAAAAAATCATCAGTTTAAGCCATGTTTTATCGCTTCTCTGTTTTGATTGAGTTTTCGGAGCATCCTGTAAGTCGTATTTTGATGTGTGCCATAAGGGAAAGAATCTCTAGTGTCTCCGACCCTGTAGTACCCTTCATTAGGTTCTTCATAAACTGTGAAGCTGATATGGTTCAGCCAATGTTAGCAAATTGTCTTGTACCTATTTCCTCATGAATGGATTATTGGGATTGACTGTAAACTAATAAACCAAACCTCAGCAATCCCCAAAATCAGCTTGCATAAAATGCTGATGCTAAGTTGCTTATTAAAACAGGAAAGAAAATATTACACACTTGACTGTCCTATAAACATATCATCTTCTATGGGACCATGAGGTTGATTATACAAATGCTTTTTTGCTAGTGTTGTATGTGATAACAATAATGAATTAACAGTTCACTGCCTGGGTTTGGCAGGGGTTTTAAGTCTCAGGTCCTTTGAATTCAAAGGAAACAATAGATGTTGTTCAGGAAACTGTTCAGCTTCCTGGCAACCTTCCTTTATAAATGTTCTGGGCATGACAGACTTGTGGGAGAGCTGGGAGAAATTAAGTAAAAAGATGCTTGGGCTGTCTGTATGGCTCACCCTATTGCCACTCCAATATTGACTAGGACAAGTGTCTAAAAAATGGATAGCTTTCCCTTATGCTACACATATGAAATTAACCCATAATGGTAAATGGACTGCATTTACTGGCTATAATGCTTTTTTTCCTTTAACAGACATAGCACTTTACAATTTTTTTGCCTCTCATTCACCCACGAATGGCAGCAGAGCTGTCATGCAAGGTGTTGGCCTGGCCACTGGAAGCAACTGTCTTACCCAAGGACACATGTGGACCAGAGGAGCCGGGGATTGAATGGCCAGCCCTATTTTTAGTGGATGACCCGTGTTACCTCCTGAGCCACAGCCTGCGTATTACATTGTAGACACTCACCTGGTATATTCGGCCCTGGATTCCCAAAAGTTTCCTCTGGTCTCTCTAGTGTTGGCAGGGGCTGGAGGGGTAGCAGGTCAGTGAGCTCCTGGTGCATGATGACTGGCTTATTGACAGGTGGATTTGGTAGAACAGTGTAGCCCATTCCACCAGGACAGATCTCTTTGAACTTAGCTATGTAATAGGAAAAAAAATACAAGTTTTTATCATACAAGTGAAAATTTGTTGTACAAAAACAGTTTTAATTGTGCACACCACATGATACTGTCCATTACACCATGTTAAACGTATCCATATCTATGGTATACCTATGACATTCGATGTGACAGTTGAGATTATAGTCTACAAAATGGCCTCCCAGAGTTTTGGTAATGCTAATTTGAACTAATAAACTACAAAAACACCCTACTAGAACACAACACATTTTCTAGGATTAACTTTGCACTCAATCTTAAACTTCAGTTTGAGCCACAATGTTCAAACTGTGTTTTGCAGCTGCTACCTCGGTAGCAATATGACAACTCCTGTAACAATTCCTGATAAAAAGACTTAGATTAAGACACTTGGCTCAGTGAGTTCAGTATTTTATCACAACAAATTATCACGTTTTCCTACAGAATGCTGCGTCTTTTCACCTCTCCCCTATGTCAGAAGTAACACTCCCCCTCCCAGTGGGGAAAAGTCTAATTCCTTGCTCAGAATGAACGACTCCCTAAAGTGGCTGAATCAAATCAATTTACAAACCTGGACAAACTGGGAAAGAAGAACATGTTTTCATACAAACAGTCTTTTAATTTCAAGGCACTGTATTTGAATGAATGAATGTCACTTTCAGCATTTTCCTGTTAGGGGTCGTCACAGTGAATGGTCAGTGTGCATGTTGACATTTGGCACGTGTTTTACGCCGGATGCCCTTTCTGACACAACCCTGACTCAAACCAAGGCTGCAGTGGCAGGAGCACTGTGCCCTAACCACTAAACTATCAGGGAACTTCAAGGCACTGTATTTATTTTTAATATTTTTTTCCCTGGCATGTATAGCAATAGGTTTAGCAATGGCACATTAACTGACTGAAGAGTTAGAACTAATAGGATGTTTAGGATCTGTCCATCTCGTCTAGTCTGTCAAGATGCTAAATGTTTGTCTGCACTGCTAACAATATGCTTTTGTGTTCCAAATGTAATAATCAATGTTTAACCAATGGTCTTCTGCACTCATGTACTGTCTCTTGAAAATAAAATCTACCAAACAAAGAGTAGGAATAAGACTTCATTACATCCATCCTTAAAATGATTTTCCCTTTCTATAGAAAGGCTGTATGCTAAGGTCATGGGAATGGGACAGACATGAGGTCACTGACCTTGACCTCTGACCACCAAAACTAATCAGTTCACCCAAGTGGACTCATTCCGTCAAGGCGTTTCTGAGATATCATGTTCGCAAGAATGGACCGAGTGGATGTAGGAACAGATGGACAACTCAAACACAGAATGCTCCAGCCACGGCTACCACCGGCACAGAGGCATAAAAGTGCATTTGATCCATGGCGCATGCAGCAGCCACACCACCACCCACCCCAAGGTGTTTTACATTCCTTGCTACTCCTTAATCCCTCACAGTCAGATTACTGCCCATCTACATATTAAAGCTATGACATCTGATTAGCACATACAAATGACTGAATAAAACACTGTTCCCATTTTAATGTCAATTCTATAAGATTTATTTATTTATTTATCTATTTATTGTCTTTCTGAAATGGAAAGCACTGACAGTGGCTTCAGTTCCACCATGTGTCCATCTTAACTGGCAGATAAGACTGAGGTTCAGCACCCTTTAAGATGCTAGCTTAACATTAACTGGGCAATGCTTCAAAAGATGCAGCAGAGTTGGTGGACAGTGACAGAACAGTAGATATGAATGAATGCCAGGGCTTTTATAAGTTAGCCAAAAACACAACAAACATCAAAGCAGTAAATCAGGTTACTAGTAGTAGTATTTCTACTGCTGCAGTATTTCTGTAACTATTCATCTCAGATGCATGGTCTCAGTATTTCCATACTCTAAATTGTCCACTTTGTTAACAGTCGATTGTTGTATATCTACATTAGGCAGTGTGTAGAAGATGTGGACTTAAGGGGTCCCTGAGGCAGTAATTTTGACAGATATTTGGGGGTGCTCTATGAACAGAATTACTGTATGGTTTTGCACAAGTATTAGATTTGGTGGGACTGGGGCTCATATATTTATGCAATTCATTAAGAAATGTCTCTTTCTCAAAGACACACTAAGTGCCAATCCTAGCCCTCACACTCATAACAAGCTACTTTAGTGTAGTATGCTTGGTAGCTCTCTGGAAACTGGCAAGAACTGGCCAGAACCCCTAGAATGTAAAAAAAACAAAACAAAACATCTGCTTCAAAACCTCAAAAGGCATCCAAGAATGTGCTAATAATGCAGAGTTCATGCTTTTGCTTACTGTTCCAAGACTAAATGGCTTTGCGTAATGGAATGCTTGGCTTGTTTTCATTAGCATTCAGTAGCACATTTTTTCTGTCACTGTTATCATGAGAAATGTAAAAAAAAATCCTGGCAAAAAATATGCAAGTCATTCAAGCTATGAAAAAATGATGGCAGCAAACTAAGGACAAAGGGCAAGGCACACAATGCATGAAGCACATGTACCATCACAAAGATTTACAATAACTTGCTATTTAACCAACCTAATGTGAAAAATATAAATATCTTGATGATGTAAACTGACATTATTTTGACAAGTATTTAAATTCCATGACTTACTGCAGTATGTAGCTAAAGGAATACATGACACGGTCAAACTGGACGTCACTACTTTTTTTTTTCTCTCAATGAAATGATGATCAGCACAGCTGAAGTCAATAGTATATTATTTATATTTCACCTAAATCTCCACACTGCCATGAAACATACTGTAGACAAGCATAGATATGTATCTACAGCCCAAAATCAGAAAAGGTTGGGACGCTATGTAAAATCAAACTTAAATCTGAAAATAGTGATATGTAAATCATCTGTGTCCTGTATCACATTGAGAACAACACAGCAGCACATTATTTGATGCGATGCCTCATCCACTTTATTCTTTGTTCACAATAAACACTCACTTCAATTCTGATGCTGCAACATATTCCAGACAAAGTTGGGACAGTAAAGCGTTTATCATGGTGTGATGTTGTCGTTCCTTTTCACAACACTTAAAAGTCATTCAGGAACTGAGGACACCAAGGGATTCAGTGTGTCAGGTGTCATTTTGTCCCATTCTTCCTGCAAACAATTCTTAAGGTCCACAACAGTCCTGGGTCTTCATTGACCCAATTTGCTTTTCAACATGTGCCACACATTCTCAGACCATGACAGACCCTGGCTTTTGGACTTGTTGCTGGAAACAGTCTGGATGGTCCTTTTCATCTTTGGTCCAGAGGACACAGCATCCATTCCTTCCAAAAAGACCTGAAATACTAATTCATCTGACCACAGTACACGTTTCCACTGTGTGATGGTCCATCCCAGATGCCTCTGAGCCCAGAGCTTCTGGACACTGTTGACACAGGGCTTCCTTTTGGCACAGTACAGTTTTAAGCAGCATTTATTGGAGCCATCACAGACATGTAAGTGCCCTTGGCAAAGGTCACTTACACGTCTGTGATGGCAGCATCACACTGTGGTAAACCCTTTGCTGTCCCAATTTTGTTGGAATATGTTGCAGCATCAGGATTGAAGTGAGTGTTTATTGTGAACAAAGAATAAAACTGATGAGGTGGCACATCAAATAATGTGCTGCTGTGTTTCCAGGTCATACAGAATACAGATGATTTACACGTCACTACTTTCACTACTAATTTTTGCAAGATAAATGTCTGACGTGACTTGGGGCCTTACCTGTTCCTGGAGGGGGGCATTTGTCACAACGAGGGCCCCAGGCTTTGCCCACACTGCAGCAGCAGAGCTGTCTGCTCAGATGGGCAGAAACTGGGTGCAAACACTGCCTCCCTGAGCTGACCAAACGGAAGCAAGCCCCTTTGTCCTCATGGATGGCAGGTGTGTTGGCTGAAGAGGAGCGCAGAAAAAGGACAGAGGACGAGGAGGGAGGTGTAGGAAGAGGTGCACCAGATTGTAGACACATACATGGAAGGAAAAAAGAGGACAAAGAGTGGAAAAATAAAGAGGTCCCCTTCACCAAAGCAACCTTTCCTTCTCACCTGTAAACCTCTGCTTTAAACGCAGTCTAAACTGTTTTCTAAAATCACCACCAGAGGGTATAAAGAAAAACACATATCTTTCAGGCAACCACATTTTGTGGTTTCACAAACAACTACATTTAAACAATGAAAGCTCAAACAAAAACAAACACATTTCAAACACAACAAAGCACAGACACCATGTTGTCGGAGAAAAACAACATGTTTCCAGTACTTCATGCACTGACTCAGATGAAGGCATGCAGGAGAGGTTGGCTAAATCAGTGTTTTCTAAGCTTTGTATATAACCTTTTTGTCAGAAACATTATCCGCAATAAATCTGTTTTAATTACTGGTTACTTGACCTGGTTTCCCTCAAATACTTTGATTCCAAAACATCAAGGATGACTGTATTGAAGGGCCAGCTGAGGTCTGTTCTAAGGCAGCTCAGATTTAGCCACACAGGCATTTTAAGTGCAGCAGTGATTTTTATTTGTTATATAAGCAAACTGGTATACACTAACACACAGACAGTACACTGGTTATGTAAGTATTCAGATCTGTCCATGGTTTCCACACTTTGCTACAAATGTATTATCATACATACTTATTATGTGGTATTGAGGTTTTACCACGCTAAATTGAGTTGTAAAGGAACAATTCAGCATTTTTGGGAAATATTCACTTTCTTGCTCAGGGTGACCTTAGAAAATTAAGTGTTAAGTACACAGTTGGAGTCAGGATTTGGTTAGTCTGGATTAGCATAAATCCTGGAGGCAAGAGCAAACACCAAGCCTAGCCATGTCCAAAAACACTTTGTGTCTATGATTAAAGTGCCCATGGCTGCTCATTTCCAGCCATTCAGTGTTTAATCTTAGGCAGCATTCAAAAAATTCCACTTTTAAAATGGCACCGGTGGATGTCAGGCAAGCTTACATGAACACAAAACTGCCTGGAGATTATGACCGTTCAAGGAGATCCTTAAACTATCATGTCATTATTTATTTTATTTAAAAAAAGGTCTCATGAGGAAGAGTTTGCAAGACTTGCATAATCCAAGTTGCTTCTACATAGAAATACTAGAACATACGTGACCTCATTTTCTGAGCTTCAGGTCACATCTAAGACGATAACTCACCATTATAACATTGTAGATAAGTCAGAAAACAAGGAAAAATGCCATGGGCTCTTTAGTTCAACAGTGAACTGCCACACTAGCAGTTCTATGAGGCTGCACACAGGCACAGCTGTGCTGAGCTAAATATAAACATCAGCATGCTAATATACAATGACAATACTCACTGGTGTTTATTATGTATAAAGTCTGTCATGGTCAAAATCTTAGTTTAACATGTTAACATGCTATTTTGTGTGAATTAGCACTGGTAAGAAGTGAAACTGATATATTTCAGCCTGAATCAAAATGGTGGACCACCCAATCATTAGACCAACCAACACTGCCATTTTTCTGGTTTGAGTGGGATCTTTTTCCTGACGAACAAGTTTATCCATCCATTCAGTATTTTTCTGCAAGGTCTCACTCTGTAGTGCAGGTTGTTGGATACAGAGCTTTAGAGGTGTTGCAGAGGAGCTGATGGTCTATTTATTTTTGTATGATTTATCCCTACTTAATTTATGGCAATATTGTGTGAACACCTACGCATGTGATATCCATTTGCTTAATGCACTGCAAAAAAGATTTGTAAGCCTGTCCACTGAATCTCTAAAGAGCCTTCTGGTAGGGGACATTATTCCAATACATGGCAGACAAGATGGCTATAGTCCCCTCACACTCTCTTTGCTTGGTGTTTTCAACCTAGTATCGATTCTGTATACCTAAAAGGATATTTCATGTTGTGCCTGGTGGGTTTTACATTCTTTGTGCCGGGAAGCCATGCCACTGGGAGCAATGGTAACACTAGGCCTAATGTGTATTTATGTGATCAGCTGAGCACACTTTTCAAACCTATACTGCCTTCAGCAAGGACCAGAATTCCTGATGAGCTCAGGGGGACACCCTGAGGGTGCAGGATAAGAATATGTCCCAAAATGCCAAACTATTCCTTTAAGCCTTCGTAATTCACTTTGATTGTTCTTGAAGCACCTCCATACATGTCCAAAGTAAACTTGGATTTAGAAAGGCACGTGTCAACATTATTCATATAGATGCATGGTTTCTCAGTCACTTTCCTACATTTCTCTGATTATAAATAAAATTCTCAGAACTACTTGTTCAACCTCCAAATCATCTAGTCAGTTGTGCAAATCTTTTAAGCAATTTCTCATTGCTTTTAACAAATTGCAAATCCTTTGGCATCGTCGTGCAAACGATTATGGACAATTGTCTGCTGTTTTCTACATTATTCGTTGCTTATGTAATGTTGATCAAAATGTATTACAGTTTTTTTCAGCTGCTAACACACCATTTTGGACTCATTGTCTCAAAACATGACATGATTCAAAGAACCACACACCTAAAGTACAGAACACCTCACATACCCTGCAAAATGAAGCACTGTGTGCAAAACTACAAAAGCACTTATAAAAATGCAACTTGCACCGAATGCCACAGACTTCATTATCACTAACTGACTTTCAGGAAAGTAAACACTGCTGTGCTAAATTCAACACACAAGTTTCTTTCATGGGCTTTTACTATACAGGTAAGAGGATTGTGCGGGGGAAGCCCACTAACTTGCACACAGATCTGCTCCAAATGCAAATTTCAGTACAAAAAGATTTAGTTTATTCCTTCACAGCTAATTTGTGGTGCATATAGCACAGTAGATATTACAGTTGTGCGAACAGAATATATCATTAGTATGTAAAAACCAAAAGCAGTAAAATAAAACAAAGGCTGCATCATGCCACCTAGCCCGCGACAAGAGAAAAGCCTGAAGTGTCGTGTTCAGGTTTTGGCAGCCCCCACTTCAATAGCATCATGTCTCTCGGCTGCATGTAAAAGAGGTCTCCCCTCCCTCTAGTTTGACCTCTTATCTAGAGAACTGTGTGTAGTGTTCTGCAAAAAGCATTTGGTTAAACTGCAACATGGTGCAAAGCAGAGCTGAATTTTTGTTCCCTGAGTGTCAGTTTTGTTAATTGTGCCAGGTGTGTTATTTTAGTGTTTCAGCAAGTGAAAAAACTGTACATGGTTCTCTTTTGAATTGCCTGTCCCAAAACATTTAGGCATTACTTTGTTTAAAATGTCATTACATGCAAAATGGGTGAACTAGTTGTCTTTAGTATTTGTCACAAATATTTCTATACAGTTCTATTAGGTTTTTTTGGGGGGGGGAAATTTGTCTGAATCATTGATTTTTTCTCAGGTGAATCTTGACTTTCACTAACAAAGGCGAATGTGTGAAGTGTTAGATCAACCAATGATCAACCTGTTCTCTCCTGTAAAACAACTCTGAAGTGCACCTCACTAACATTCAGTTGACAAACATATATAGATAGAGAGAAGAAAAGGGGTAGGACTGTGTGGAGGGAAGGAATCTTTCTTCTCATATATTTACATGTCCTGACATCAGTGACATCAGTCAGTAAGGTGTCCGTCCTACTCTTTAAAGAGGATGAGAGGAGCTCCTTTGATTCGCTCCTTTGATGACATTCGCCTTTGATTGGACAGAACTAAAGCCAGACCTGAGTCCACCTACTCACCATGTATTCCTCCCTCTAATAATATACTGTATCTCGCCTTTCATCCACAGTGCACCCGGTAACTGCCTCTCTGTGCATGAAAATGCACTGGACCTGTGGTCAACAAAACTGCAAAACTGTTGAACATACCCATGCTGTATGTCCCTTGTGCTTCAACACGAGTTTAGCACTGCAGGAAAATAGAGCCTGTCATGCTGTGCGCCATGTTTGCCAAAGAACAGCATGAAGGAATGGTAAATGGTTTTATACTTGTATAGCGCCTTTCTATGCTTTTACAGCACACTCAAAGCGCTTTCACATTATTCGGCCATTCACCCATTAGCACCATGATCAGAGTTTTTGGAGCACCTTTGTAACTTTATCTGCTCGAGTGTGAATTTAAAGCAGGCACAGTGACAAAGCAACAGCACAGGGTTAAATATAGAGTAACAAATGTGTTTCTTTCCTTGCTTTTGAAAATCACCAATGTAATGAACCAAAAATATCTGAAATTAGCATTATTTAAGTGGAGTAAATAATATCTATAGAACATGTAACACAGGTGATGAGCCAGTTTAGAGGGGAACTCACATTGTATCAGACTATGAAATATATTCTCACTGAATATGTTTTTACCTGTACGGATCTGTATAATCTGTAAAAAGTATATTTACAGGTATTGCACTAATGAAAGGTATTGTACTGAGGGTTATTGTCCAGTCATACTGTTGTGGATCAAGTGTTCATCAGAGTGACAGTCCGGGGGTAGAAACTGTCCCTGAAATGTTTTATTTAACTTGGTTTGTATTTAGTGGTCGATTCCATAGCAAAAGCAAC